GGTGCTCGGGGGCTGCCTGGCCCCACCGGTCCCAAGGGAGACACCGGTAGCCGGGGTCCAACAGGGATGAGAGGCCCACCAGGTGAGTTTCCACACTGCCCCCCAGCCCTGTTCACCTGGGGAACCCAGGTGAGGTCTCCCTTCCCCAACCCTGACACAGCCAGGGTGACCTGGCCCATTCCACCCGCTAAGCTCTCTGCTCACTCCCTGAAATGAAACCCCGGCTCAGATCTGGGCTGGGGCGGGGTCACCCATGCCTGCCCTCCTAGGGCCCCCAGACTGGAGCCAAGCAGAGGAGAAACAGCCCGGCCCACCCTTCATGGGACTAGGCCTTCTCAGGGGGTGCTGGGGTCTGGGATACCCAAGGAAGGAGCCAGACCAGCCTGGCCCGACAGAGGACAAGGGTGCTGAAGTTCATTGCTGTAGGCGGTGGGGAGGACAGGCCTGTGGACTTCAGAGCCCCAGGCTGCCTTGTGCTGCCCCCTAGAGGCCACCCGGGGCCTCCGTGCCTCCTGTGCAGCTGCAAACCCCTATGATCTCATTGTAGGTCCACAGGGCCCCCCAGGGAGCCCTGGCCAGACTGGAGCGGCAGGTACCCCTGGAGAGAGGGGGGCTCCAGGCCCACCAGGACCTCCTGGCCCTCCTGGGCCCCCAGCCCCTGTTGGGCCCCCACATGCCCGGATCTCCCAGCACGGTAAGTCTCCTTCAGGCCCCGGCAGGTTGTGGCTGGGGGGAGGGAGGCACAGAGGTTAGAGTGGGGGAGTGGCTTCAAGCCCAGGTGCTCGGAACCGCCTGGTGTCAGGCCCTCTGCAAGTCTTGAGCCAGTGCCTGGGAGTCCGAGTCCTGGCAGCCAGAAGCAGGCCAAGCCCTCGTCGTGTGCTCAGCAAGGCCCCAGCACCTCTGCCAGGAAGAGCCTGAATGTGAGCCCCTGGTCTGACCCCCACGTGCGTGCTGCCGGGGCCGGAGCGTGGAAAGCCAGCTGCAGCCCAGCCTGCCTCGTGTCTGGGTGCACGACGAGGCCCCATTCACTCATTCGCCCTCCCACTCCACCACTCATGCTCTCTCACTGGTCACTCTCCCTCTCGGGTCTGCCATTGCTCGTCTGCACAGTGGGGAGTGCTGGTGCCAGCCCCCCAGAACTCTGACACCCACACCCTGTGCAGGTGTTCTGCAGGTGGTGGCTTGTGTTGTTAGCCGCGTTACACAGGTGAAGGTGCAGGCCCGGCACGGTGGGAAGTCTTGCCGACTAGATCCTGGCAGCACGGGAACTCGGGCCCGAGGTGGACCTGTGGCCGCCCCGTAGCTCATTCGAAGCTCTGAGCAGAGGTGGCAGGTGAAAACTGACCCCCCCCCATGCTGCCAACTCAACTATCTTTCCTCTCCCAGGGGACCCATTACTATCCAACACCTTCACTGAGACCAGCAGCCGCTGGCCCCAGGGACCCACTGGGCCCCCGGGCCCCCCAGGACCCATGGGTAAGTTGAGTCTAGGCCTGTAGCAAGAGAAGGGTGTTGGCAGGTGGCAGAGGGACCAGGGCCTTGGCTATGGCAATGATGGGGGCCTTCCTGGCCTTGTATTGTGTTCAGCTTGAGGACGTCCTATGTTATTTCAGGTCCCCCTGGACCTCCTGGCCCCACAGGTGTCCCTGGAAGTCCTGGACACATGGTGAGTAGTTTTCCACTTACGTGTCTGTCCGTCCACCCGTCCACCCCTTCTTTCTTTCATGCACTCAACAAGGATTTATTGAGCATTTAGTAGCAAGCTGCTTTCCATAAATCCTCTCATTCAACCACACAACAGGAAGCAAGGATTGTTATTGCCTAACGCCAAAGAAAGGTGGCGATCTTCGCCTTAGGGCTGTGTGGCCAGCTCATGGCCACGTCCGGATCGGGATGAGGCTGCCTAACTCCAGGTCTGGGTCTCTTAGCACCGAGCTGTGTGAACTGCATGCTGTGCGCCAGTGGATGGACAGTGAAGAGGCCAGAGGCCCGGACCAAGCTGGGGTCCCCTCCCCAGCCCCCTTCCTTCCTCAGCCCTGCTTCCTCCCTTCTTCCCACTCCAGCCCCAGGCTAAGGCTCTATCTTGTTGTTCAGGGACCCCCAGGCCCCGCTGGACCCAAAGGAATCTCTGGCCGTCCAGGCGAAAAGGGCGAGAGAGTGAGTACCCAGGTGGACCCAGACGGAGGATTCTAGGGGGTGCTGGGGAACCCCAGTCAGAGCCCCCGCCCCCAACAGCTAACACCATTCCTTTCCTCTCTCCTGTTACAGGGACTTCGTGGGGAGCCCGGCCCCCAGGGCTCCGAGGGGCAGCGGGTAAGTGATGCTGTCAGCCCTGCAGCCTCCCCCTAAGACCCTATAGGCCCAGACCCCTGCTCTGGCTCTGTTCCCTGTGCTCAAAACCCCTGGGACTCTCTGCCTAGTCCAGGGAACCCCATGTTCTCCCAGTTGCTACCCAACTCGGACCCATTATCCCTTTACGGTCAGGTTGTTGTGTCTCTCCTAATCTTCCTATACCTATAGGGTGAGTCTGAAAGTGCTCCAAGCCTAACAATACCGGTCCAGTGAGGAGACCAATGGGAGTAGGATGCAACAGGGCCCCAGAGCCCTGCCAGTAAGAAAGAAACGGAGAAGATGAGGTCCTCTTCCAGATGATGGGGGCAAGGGAGACTTCTGGAGTTTTCCTTAGGAACGCCTGGTCTGGCAGACAGAACCAGGGAGCGTCCCGAGAGGAGGGCCTGAGTCCTTCCCAGATGCTTGCAGGAATCATGGCACATTCCGAAGCTGTGCCTTCACCTTACCAATGTCCCCTTCTTGTTCTCTAAAAAGCAAAGTCCACATAAATATGGCTTTCAGAGACGAGACTGCTAAATAGGAAGCATAGACATAAAAAGCAAACAGTGAGATGAGACAGGGAAGGATGCTGTTCAGGAGGATCTCTCCCCCTCCCTCTCCCCTCCCTCTCCTCCCTCTCCTCCCTGTCCCTCCCTCTCTCTCTCTCTCTCTCTCTCCCTCTCCCTCTCTCTCCCTCTCTCTCCCTCTCTCTCCCTTTCTCCCTCTATATCTCTCTATATATATCCCTCTCTCCCTCTCTCTTTTCCTCTGTCTCAGTCTCTTTGGCCCTGTACTACTTTTTCAACTCTCTGTGTCTACAACTCTGATGATAGATTTATACATTTCTCTCTTTAGTTGGGCCAATTTTTGCTTTATGTATTTTGAATCTTTGTTCTTAGTTGCATACACATTTAGGATGTTAATATCTGCTTTTTTAACCTTTTTTTTTAAAGATTTATTATTTATTTGAAAGAGTTACAGAGAGAGGTAGAGATAGAGTGAGAGGTCTTCCATCTGCTGGTTCACTCCCTAGATGGCTGCAACTGCTGGAGCTGCGCCGATCCAAAGCCAGGAGCCAGGAGCTTCTTCCAGGTCTCCCATGTGGGTGCAGGGGCCCAAGGACCTGGGCCATCTCTTACTGCTATCTCAAGCCATTGCAGAGAGCTGCATTGGAAGAGGACCTGCCAGGACTAGAACTGGCGCCCATATGGGATGCTGGCACTTCAGGCCAGGGCTTTAACCCTCTACACCACAGTGCCGGCCCCTCCTTTTTTTAACCTTTATATGAAATTTCTATCTGTACTTCTGGTAATACTGCTGTCTTCAGTTCTGTTTTGTTTGCTGTTAAGGTGCTTTCTTATGCTTGATGTTATCATGGTGTATTTTTTTTATCCCTTTTCTTTCAAGCTATTTGCATCTTTGTGTTTAAAGGACATCTCTTGTAAATAATGTGTAATCTGTGTCTTGCCTTTTTTTTTAAGATTTTATTTATTTATTTGAGAGGTAGAGTTACAGACAGTGAGAGGGAGAGACGGAGAGAAAGGTCTTCCTTCCGTTGGTTCACTCTCCAAATGGTCAGAGCTGCACCGATCCAAAGCCAGGAGCTCTTCTAGGTCTCCCACATGGGTGCAGGGGCCCAAGCACTTGGGCCATCTTCCACTGCTTTCCCAGGCCATAGCAGAGAGCTGGATCAGAAGAGGAGCAGCCGGGACTAGAACCGGCACCCATATGGGATGCTGGCACTGCAGGCGGGGATTAAGCTACTGGGCCCATGTCTTGCCTCTTTTAAACAGTCTGTTCAGTTAATTTACATTCAGTGATGCGTATAATTACTAATGTGGTTCCATTTAACTCAACCACTTTGCTGTTTCTGTTCAGTCTACCCCATCTGTTCTGGGTTTTGCCCCTTTTCCTGCCTGCTTTTGCATGAGTATTTTTTATGATTCCATTTTATCTCCACTAATAACTTTCTTTAAAAAATGTGTTTATTAAGAGAGAGCCATCTTTCATCTGCTCATTTTCCCCAAAATGGCTACAAAGACTAGGGCAAGGCCAAAGCCAGGAGCCAGGAGCTTCATCCGGGTCTCCCACATGGGTTGCAGGGGCCCAAGTACTTCAGTTATCCTCCTCTGCTTTCCCCGGCACAGTAGCAGGAAGCTGGATCCCGAGTGAAGCAGCCAGGACTCAAACCATAGGATGCCAGTGTTGCAGGCGGCAGCTTAACTCTGCAGCACAACGCTGCGACCCACCCCCAACTAATATCGTTGTAGCTTTGCTTCTTCCTGTTATTTTTTTCATGGTTGCTGTAAGATAACAATATGCATTCTTGATTTATCAGGATTTACTTGTATTAATATTATACCACTTCCTGTGTAAGTAAGAATGTTACACATGTATAGTTCTTATTTTTACTAACATTTACTTGTGCCATTGGTGTCTTATATTGCACTTCTACATCACTTGTAAACCCCACAAAATGTTCTTTTAAGTTTATTTATTTGATTTTTTAAAGACTTATTTATGTATTTGAAAGGCAGAGTTACAGAAAGGCAGAGGTAGAGAGAGAGAGAGGTCTTCCACCCACTGGTTTACTCCCTAGATGGCTGCATTGGCCAGAGCTGTGCTGTTCCAAAGCCAGGAGCTTCTTCCAGCTCTCCCACGCAGGTGCAGGAGCCTAAGGACTTAGGCCGTCTTCCACTACTTTCCCAGGTCATAGCAGAGAGCTGGATCAGAAGTGGAGCAGCCGAGACTCGAACCGGTGCCCATATGGGATACTGGCACTGCAGGCAGCGGCTTTACCCACTACACCACAGTGCTGGGCCCCTATTTATTTATTTGAAAGGCATAGTTACAGAGGGAGAGGAAGAGACAGCGAGATCTTCCATCCAGTGGTTCACTCCCCAAATGGTCATAACAGCCAGGGCTTGGCCAGGCCAAATCCAGGAGCCAGGAATTCCATCCTGGTCTACTCCATGGGTGGCAGGAGCGCAAGCACTTGGGCCATCTTCCCAGGTGCATTAGCAGGGAGCTGGATCAAAAGTGGAGCAGCTGGGACTTGAAATGGCATCTGGCAGGGGAAGCCAGCATCCCAAGCAGTGGCCTGACCCCTGTACCACAATGTTGTCCCCCTGGCCCCCAAAAAAGTTATTACAGCATTAAACAATGAATTTTTTTTAAGGTTTATGTATTTGAAATGCAGAATCAGAGAGAGAGAGAGAGAGAGAGATCGAGATATCTTCCATCCGCTGGTTCACTGCCCAAATAGCTGCAACAGCTGGCGCTGGGCCAGCCTGAAGCCAGGAGCCAGGAGCTTCATCCAGGTCTCCCACGTGGGTGCAGGGGCCCAAGGACTTGGGCCATCTTCTATCGCTTTCCCAGGCACATTAGGGATCTGGATCAGAAGTGGAGCAGCTGTGACATGAACCCGCACCCACATGGGATGCCAGCTTTGCAGGCAGCAGCTCGGCCCCCTGTGCCACAGCTCTGGTCCTGCCAAGTTTCCTAAGTTGGAGGTTAGAGTCCTGTGTCGAGGCACAGCAGGTTAAGCTGCCACTTGGGGCAGCCGCATCCCATGATCGGCGTTCCTGCTGCTCCACTTCCCATCCAGCTTCTTGCTGATGCATCCTGGTGGCGGCGGGTGATAAGTGCCTGGGACTCTGTCACCCACGTTGAAGCCCAGATGGAGTACTGGGTTCTTGACCTTGGCCTGACCAAGTCCTGGCTGTTATGGGCATTTGGGGAGTGAACAAGTGGATGGAAGATTGATTTTCTCAGTCTGCCTTTCAATTAAGTGAAGATAAACATTTTTCAAAAAAAATTATAGGCTAGACGTTTTCTCCCTTTAATACTTTTTAATAGATTTATTTACTTATTTGAAAGTCAGAGTTAGAGAGAAGAGAGGCAGAGAGAGAGAGAGAGAGGTCTTCTATCCGATGGTTCACTCCCCAGTTGGCTGCAACGCCTGGAGCTGTGCCAATCCAAAGCCAGGAGCCAGGAGCTTCTTCTGAGTCTCCCACTTGGGTTCAGGGGCCCAAGGACTTGGGCCATCTTCCACTGCTTTCCCAGGCCATAGCAGAGAGCTGGATCGGAAGTGGAGCAGCCAGGACTAGAAGTGGTGCTCGTATGGGATGCCAGCACTACAGGCTGTGGCTTTAACCCACTGCACCACAGTGTTAGCCCCAGTAGACCTTTTTGGAGCAGTTTTAGGGTCATAGAAAAATTCAGTGGAAAGTAGAGTTTCCTGTCTCCACGCAAGCCCGTTCTCTCTCATGGCTGACATGCCCACAGACTGGTGTATTTGCAACCATCGGTGGACCTGTGTTGACACATCAGTATCGCCTACATGCCACCGTCCACCTTGGGGCTCATTCTTGGTATTGCACATTCTGTGGGTTATTTTTTTTTTTTTTTTTGACAGACAGAGTTAGACAGTGAGAGAGAGAGAGACAGAAAGAAAGGTCTTCCTTCCATTGGTTCACCCCTCAAATGGCTGTTACTGCCGGCGCACTGGGCCAATCTGAAGCCAGGAGCCAGGTGCTTCCTCCTGGTCTCCCATGCAGGTGCAGGGCCCAAGCACTTGGGCCATCCTCCACTGCATTCCTGGGCCACAACAGAGAGCTGGCCTGGAAGAGGAGCAACCAGGACAGAATCTGGCGCCCTAATTGGGACTAGAACCCGGTGTGCCGGCGCCACAAGTAGAAGATTAGCCTAGTGAGCCGTGGCGCCAGCCCATTCTGTGGGTTTTGAAATCCACACGATGACCTGCACCCACCACTGTATCTCGGAACACTTGGCTGCCCAAGAAGTCTTCTTTTTTTTTTTTTTTTTTTTTTTTTTTTTTTAATTTTTTGACATGCAGAGTGGACAGTGAGAGAGAGAGACAGAGAGAAAGGTCTTCCTTTGCCGTTGGTTCACCCTCCAATGGCCGGTGCACCGTGCTGATCCGATGGCAGGAGCCAGGTACTTATCCTGGTCTCCCATGG